ATATATATATATATATATATATATATATATATATATATATATATATATATATATATATATATATGCACGCCAACAACAAAACCACTACAAGCTAAGCTCGCCGTGCTGCAGTGCCTGCTGAGGCATCTGCTGCTGCTGCTGCTGCTGTTGCTGCTGTTGCTGCTGCTGGTGAGGGCCCCTTCTCCCTCTGCTGCTCTATCTTTTTAATTTCTTCTGCTGCAGCCCCCACTGACGGCAGCAGCTGCAGCGGAGAAAACGTCTCCGGTAGCACAACGCACAGCAGCTTCTGCATCGCCTTGTGCGCCTCAGACCGCATCTCCTGCAGCAGCAGCAGCAGCAGCAGCAGCAATTACAACGGCAGCAGCAGCAGTAGAAGCAACAGCAATAACAATAGCAGCAGCAGTAGAGGCGCCAGCAGGACCAGAAGCCGTAGCAGCAGCAGCAGTAGAAACAGTAACACTAGCAGAAGCAGTGACAGCAGCAGCAGCAACAGCAGCAGCAGCAACAGCAGCAGCAGCAACAGCAGCAGCACCAGCAGCAGTAGCAGCAACAGCAGCAGCAGCAAGAAGGGGCTGTGCTCTCACCGGCGATGCCGCACAGGTTAACTGCAGCACCAAACCCACCACCAGAGAAGCGTTCGATACAACTCTGCGCATAAAGCAGCAGCAGCAGCAGCAGCAGAAGTAACAGCAGCAGCAGCAGCAGGAAAAAAGCAGCAGCAGTAGCAGCAGCACCAGCAGTAGCAGCAGCACCAGCAGCAGCATCAGCAGCAGCAGACAGCCCCTACACAAACAAGACGCTGCTCCTGAGCAGCAACAGATGCAGCAGCAACTGCAGCAACAGCAGCACGACGAGCTGCCGCAGCGGCAATAGCAGCAGCCAATGCAATTGCTAAGCAGCAGCAGCAGCAGCAGCAGCAGCAGCAGCAACAGCAGCAGAGCAGCAACAGCACCACCTTCAGAAGCAGCAGCAGCAGCAGCACCAGCATTACCAGCATTACCAGCAGCAGCAGCAGCAGCATTAACAGCAGCAGCAGCAGCAGCAGCAGCAGCAGCATACATGGTATCGGGGAGCTGCGAGAGCCCCTGTAGAACAGCAGACTGAATGAGGGCGGACAGACTCTGCAGCTCGCGGCTCCCCTCCGCCTGTGCAGTGTACAGACACCGCAGCTTTATATATATATAAATATATATATATATATATATATATATATATATATATATATATAT